ATAGAGAGAATTGTAGTATTCACAATGATAGTAGTATTCACAATGATCACTTTGCGAGTGGCATTTTCATATAAAATAAATGAACAATCTACATCCTGGAACATGTCAAAAGTCTGTGAGACGTATATTTTTTGTTCATTGAGGCTGGTATGCTTGCATTTCTTCTTAAGGTATGAATTAAAACAAAGAACTTCAGACCTGAGAATTTGGTAACCTCCTAATATGAATTAAGCTCCTAGAGGGTGCATGTAATTTAGATATCAGTTAGCGTTCTAGGATTCTGAATGCAAAGTTATATAATGGAAACTGTGGTGTCACCTAGTATGATACTTTAAGTAACATTAAGGGAGGGTTGCAATGGAGGATAATTAGGTTTTACTGATCAACAGAGTCTTATCAGCTCAAAGTGAATTTCTCCTATCAGTAAGCCAGATACACACTTGCATTTTCTTCTGTTTTTCTCTTCTCTTCCTTTCATGTAATGGTTTTTAATTGCGTTATCTGGCAACATAAAAATAGAATTATTTACACAAAAATCTAGAATATCAGAAACTTTTATTGTTGATTCTGATGGATAGTACAAATGCAAAGAAGAACTACAATATCTGAAATGATTGGGGAGTGTCATTGCTAGGCGGAATTGAAAACAATAAATCTGAAATTAAAAAGGTAATTATTAACCTTGTGAAGAAGAAAAATAATCTACAAATCAACATGTTATAACCTCTCAAAATGTAAATAGTTTGCATACCATAACATTCAGCAGAACCAAACTCCTTTGAGTCCTTGTGTTATGGAAGATCTAAATCTCTGATTCTTTCGTCAAAGAGCTGCCAGCTCCTCTATTCCCCTGCTAGCATGATTGTTTCTAGAGAGGAGCTGTCAAAGATTTTTATTTTCTTATTAGCTTTGATAAGTGCTTTGGAGACAATGGATTCTGTCTGCACAATCTTTTTCTTTTTCATATGCTGACCACATAAAGTCTAGAAATCTGGAAAACAAGTAATTGTGTATACTATATATTACTATTTTACTATATACTGTATATACTAACTATAAAGAAACATTTTCTGATTCCTTCTGTTGTTGTGAATTAACACAATCAGATACATAAACAAGTTTAAATGGTATTTTAATGTGAACTTTAATATCATTAGTAAAAGGAAAAGACAAGACCATATGCTGTATTGCTTTATTCCTTAGGTGACCATCACTAGCATCACCACCATCTATAAGAATAAGAATAGAGACAGAAAATACAAGGAGCTTTAATGAGCCCCATTAGATGAATATTTCAAATATATTCTTAAAAATAACCTTTGCAGTGAGCATGGGGCAGTTTCCTTGACATTAAAAGCTCTTATACAGTGATAAAAGTTATTTCAAAGTGAGTAACATTACATTAAACACTACAAGAGGAGGTAAAGCTTCAGTTATTCTTCAACAATGCTAACATTCTTGTACTCAGTATGGATTACGGCTCCCTACCTAGTTGCTCTTAGAAAGGAACACCAGTGTTGTGTTGAGCCTCCCTTTAACAAAAAACCATGTGCCATTGAACCACTCCAGAGATGAAGCAGAGTAACTAAATGTAAATGTGAAACTAAATTTAAACACAGATGCCAGTCCCTTTGATTAGCAGATGCTTGTTTAACCTAATGTTCACCTCCAAGCCTTCATTAACACAGCTCATTAATGCAATTATTTTCATGAAAGGTTTACAAAGCGACCACAAACTGTTTACATACCCAAAAATCTTAGTTCAAGCCCATTGCATCAAACAGTTCCTATTGATTTCACTTGCTTCATAGCAAAGCATATACTGTACGATAGTTTTGCCAGTGTGCTCCAAGCTAAGAAAACTAGTTGTAAGACAAATGAAATGACCCCAAACCTTTAGAGTTCCAAGAAATGGACCCCTTAGTTTAGTTTTACACCAAAGCATTTGTGGATTTTGCTTTCTTGAAAGAGGAATGTCTTTTTCTCATTTTACTTGAAACTCCTGTTACAAAAAAATTGCTCGGAACATTTCCTCCACCATTAAGTCATGAACCAACAACTTTGAATAAGTAAAGAGTTATATTATGCATTTGTTTTTTTGGATTACAAAGATATCATTTCTACATTTCCTGAGAAGTTTTTCTTACCAAAATATAATATTAATATTATAATATTAATAACAGCAAACAAAACACTCAATAACCTTGACTTATGATAAAAGAAGCCTACTACTTTACGATTACTATGAAACTATCAGTGCAAGCTTTATAGATAATCTATATTTAAAGCCAACCTGTCATGTAGGGAACACATACTGTAGTCACACTACAAATACTTTGGGCCCACAACAAAAAGGATATATTGAAGACTTCTGGTTTAATATTCAGTTGAATGCCAGAAGTGATATAAGTAAATGCTGATGAACATAACATACTGTATATAGGAATTGTGATTTTGTCAGTAAAGCTTTCATGATCTTTGTAGTCTTTTATATTGGTATTTTTTCATGATGTTATTAGTTTAAACTCCACAGGGGAAAAAATAATTTGATATAAACTGATCTGTTCCTTCTCTTGTATATCTCAAGTGCTTCTGAGTGCTTACAAACTAAGTTACTAATCAGACCAAAAGGTTCAAGAGCAGTTAATTCAAGAATGACCCCTCAAGACTGCTATTATAAAAATTAGGAAACAGAATAAGAAATAATCTAAGCACTAGCATTACAAAAATGTGATTAGAATTATTTCATAATTACTGAGAGCTACACCTACAATATGCTCAATCTACAAGTGTAAGAATCAAAGTTTTCAAAAGATATTCTTTCTATATGCTAATCTCCTCTAATCAGAGTATTTCAACCATGTGCATTTAGCAAAGACATTGAGAAAGAACCTATTACATACTGACATCTAAAAATATTTTAGATGTAATTGAGTCATCATTTGCAAATAAATTAATTAGACAATACAAGTCATTTTTGTTCTTGTATACAAATTAAATCCATGTGTATGCAGTTGCTCATATTCAGGGCAAAAGGAAGACCCAGTGTTAGCAAGTGAGTATGTCTGGGTAAATTGAGGACGTGCCATTGAGTCATAATCATGAAATGCTTCATTCCATTAGAATTAGCAGTTCGAGCAGTAAAAATTGCTTTTTTTAAATTTGGATTCATATTGGTTTTTAAGTAGCTTAACATGGAAGTGTCTCTATACATTCTTAGAGTCAGTAGCGCTGTTTAATCTAGAATTCCTACGTAATCTACCTAAGTGAACACATCATTTTACCAGTTCTTAAGATATGGAAGCCTACAGTACAGTATGTGGTGTTAACTGCAAGGGAAATGAGATCAATGTTTTAAATTCAGTTTTCTTGATTTAATATAGATAAAATATACTATATTAAACTATGGTAAGCTATAGCTTGCAGTGGGTCATTATAGTTTACCATAGTACCAGAAAGAGAACTGTGACAGAATGGCTTTAATTTGTTACGTTTCTCTGGGTGGGTGTAAACATCCCATTTGTACAAAACAACTGAAAAATAAAACACAGAATATATCGAATTAATCAAGCTCCATCACTACTGTTGTGTTCTCTATACACTGATAGGAGAAAATGCAAAAGCTTTTCAGGAAAAATCATTTCAGGAATTTGAGGAATGGATAAAAAACAAAGCGAAGACAGAAAATGACATGACATCCAAGGACACATTACATGCAACCTTATTCTTTACACTATGTCACTCAAGGGCAACATTGAAACTTTTTCTATGTGTGCTGTCAAAAATGCAGCGTATATGCACTTTTCATACTGTCAAAGCTGTCAAAGGAAAGAAACTGCAGACTTCCTACCACATTCTATTGGAATAAACAGCTTCTTACATCTTTATATCACAGTATGCATTAAATTAATGTAACTGTAAACAATGTAATTTTGCAACAGACCTTTTTGATTTCTAACAAATTGGTTTGTTTTCAGCCAGAAACCTTTCTGGCAAAGGAATGGCTTTAGTTATCCTTCAAAACACAAGACCCAACTTCGGAACGGACAACTTGGTCTCACTTCCAGGGTTTATGCATCCAATACACTCTTGAAATGATCATTTCAGACAGGCAAATTTTAAATAAACCAAAAAAAAAATCTTTCTGACGTGGGAGTCACAGTCTGTGGCTGTGATATTTCAAAACTGTCTTAGGACTTACAGCACTAGAACTCATCTATTTAATTTGATGAGTTTTAGGGATCAAATATTTCATATCATTCTAAATTCTTACTTAAAATGGTCCAAGCCAATTACAAATAATACTTTTCACATTGACCATTTATGGAGAAGTACTAAAAATACATAAAGCAAACAAAATATCTTTAATGGCATTTGAAAAAGTGACTTTTATCACAAGACTCATTTTCCATAATTACTTTGTTTTTATGTTTTCTTTGTTTGGAAAGAATTACTTTACGTTTCTTCATTCTAGGACCTTGCATTTTATATGCAAAATACACATAAGAATCATAACATGTAAAATATGTTCAGTTAGTAACAACTCATTTGGGAAAAGAACAAAACTATTCAAGTCAAGATACTGTATCTATGCTTAAAGATTAACACGTCAAACACTGACATGAAGGACTGGTGCAAAACATTTAATTAGCACCATTGACAGATAGAGGTCAGCTAAAGTAAGGACAAATATGTTAGTTTATTTATAAATATTCTCAGAGAAATAGGCACACAACGATATTCACCCAAACCAAACTAAATTTTACAGTTAAACTATCATATCTTGAAATATATTGCTGTTAGCACATTGTTTGTACTGTAAGTCTTACGCACACATCATAATAGAAAGAAAGAACACTGACTCCATGTACTGTTTTTAAGAATTCCAGATTTCACATTTTTGGACATTTTTTACCGTTGTAAAGCAAAGCCCTTGCTAATATGAGCAAGCTGTTGTACTGTACATCACACAGCAGTGTGAAAGGACATACTGTACTCACATGTTGCCACTGGTCAAGGATCAAAGGCCTGTACCGGAGAAAATACTTCAGGGGGAAATTGTCCACCTCTGGCCATGTGGATGGGCTCTTCCAGGAGACTTCCAATCGCCGTGCATTGTTGATGACAGGCCTGGCTGAAACCTTTTCAGGAGGGTCAGGTTTAACTGGAAGAAAGAAGATCACAGGAACTTCAGATTAGTCCTCTCTTTTCAGAACTCAGTACAGTTCATCTAGGCTGGAAAAAGTTGCTTCCCCTAACTGATAAAAGTAAATCAATATGAGTGTGCTGAGTGCTAAAAAAAAAACCAGAAATTATAAGTTATGCAACCTCATCACGTGATCATAAATGTTTTTTTAATGATCTGTGTAGATGTGACAAGTGCGGTTCTCCCTGTCCCTGCCAGGGTCGTCATGGGATCCAGGGATGCACAGTACTGTTTCCTAGACAACAGACAACTCAGCCACACCAAAGGACCGGACCCTGTGCCACGACAGTTCTACAGAGCCAAGATTTCAGAGGTGGGTGACATCACCTGTAACTCGCTTGGTGCACTGAGCCCTGATACACTGACAAATATTAAACATTATTAGAAGTTAAAAAAGAAAACTCCTCAACTGGAAAACCAGGCATGATTTGTATAAAGCAATTTTGCAGCTTTTGGGACACCCTCCATCATTTGCTCAAACTAAAATCTTAATTACATAATTAAATCAAGTAATTATCTGACTAATTACATCTTTTTTAAAATTGGTTTCACTTCAAAAGAGGTTGAGGCTAAATTTATCTGTAAATGTGGAAGCTCATTTGGGACAAAATCAAAGACAATGCATTCTCTAACCTGGGCTTGAGAAGACATTACAATATGTTCTTAAACAATAAGAAATGATGTGCGGAGAAAAAAAAAGCATTCATTCATTTTGTTAAGAAACACAGTATCATATTTTTCAGTCCCCAGCAGTGACAGCATTCATGAGAAATGTGAATGGAGACCCAAGGCACTGTCCCTGAAGTAGGTCATATCACTTAGAATTCATAACTGTTGCTTTGTAAGGTAATCTGACAACCTGCTTTCTTAAAAAGGAAAAAAATCTTGCAGGGAAACATTGTGTAAAATTTGTAATGCAGACAATCCACTCTTTCCCTGATCTGCCTGCGGAGCTGAGATGGGAAAATAAAAAAAGAATGCAACAGTTCCTTTTCCTCAGTGTTATACTGGCTGGGAGATCAGTCTGTTTGCACTGAGGTTTAGCTTGTATACCTCACTTGTGTCTCAGACAAAGAGAGCAACAGAGCAGCTGTGCCTTCCCACCCCCCACTCTTTTACTATGAATGGAAATGAGCACAAATACAGAGGCTTAGCATTTATGTGTTAAACCTCATTTTGGCCTTTAGAAAGCCTGAGATAGTTATACAGTATACAGTGTATATGTACACACACAACTGTGAAAACAAAATGTTTGTGTTGTTCTGCTCTTTTCATACAGTGTTTTTTCTCTTTTATTTAGACAATCTATGGCATTTTTAGCCACTGTGAAATCCTGATAGATTTGTGTAGCCTTTTGGCTTTGTGAAGGTGTAGAGAGGAACACTTAACAATGTGTCCATTAGATTCGATTGAGAAATATAATGGATTAGCTATTGCATACAGCATATTTGTGGCTCATTTCTAGTTCATTTTCATTTATTTTGATCATGTTTTTCAAGATTCTGATCAGTGTTAACTATTTTTTTCTTAATCACAAACAATGTCTTCTCATCCAAACTAAGCTGTATTAACAATATAAATCACTAGGGGAAAGTTAATTATTGATTATATGAGTAAATTAGTTTATAAGATACAGTGTATTGTAATTCCTGATTGTATTTAAACAATTTTGAATATTAATGAACAATGAAAATGCAACTTTCTAAATTTTACATACAGTACATACCTCACTGGGCAGAGCTGAATGTTATTTATGTTTTAAATCAAGAGTTGACAGGCTTGTTGATTCTTTGAGTATTATAATTATGTTGGGTTAGAGTTAGACTCATGTGATATTATATACGTCAGATTCTGAGTGATATTTAAATTGAATGCCAAAATGATTGATTAGGAATTTGTCAAAACAGCAATAGCAAGAACAGCTCAAGTTGCTTATAAAATGGAGATCCTCTGGTTGCTAACAGCATGGTTGAGGGCACCCTGTCATAGTGAGATGTTTCCCAGAGAATGAGATATTCTGCTTCAACAATCAATGGACTAGTGCAAAGAAACCAATGAAACCATTCTGTGTAGGACAGCACCTTTCTGGAAGGCAAGGGGTCACCACACCAGCCAAGGACCATCACATTCATCTGATCTATCTAATCTGTATAATCATCTACAGACTGCAATATTTACAACATGTGAAATAACACATGTATCAGCAGATTTGCTAGACCTTATCATCATCTACACGCACAGAGTTCATTCAGGGATAACATGGCAACAGCTGACAGATGAAATTGATATCTTCTGTGGTCAGACATCGTTATAACATACAGTATAGTATATGAAATGCTCGGGGTCTGATCTTCTAACCCAGGAATCCTGATGACATCACCATTTATTACCAACTCATGTATGAGCATGTAGCCATCAATGTAAACACTTATTTAGGCGCTTATTTTATAGAGAATTCTGGAAATTTGTAAGGAGAAAAACTCATTAATTCGCTGAGGAGGAAAACCAATGCTGTAATCTGTGATAAGCAAGTGCTCAAGTGGTGGCTGCAGTGGTTCCCAGATGGTTTGATGTCATACAAGAAAATCCAGATGTTGTGCAACCCGCAAACTTCCCTCAGGCCAGCTATTATGGAGCCAGATTTAGATTGAATTGTGGCAAAATACCAGCCAAGAATTTAATGGCTCATTTTTTATTAACCTTTTCATTTTTAATTGTAAATGCCTTGGTTCTGACTTAGTTATACATGTGGCCATACATTAATTAAGAAAATCCAGCTACTCAAAACTGTTGTTTGGTGGAAAAAATAAAAGTTAAAATAAACTTTTAAAACTTAGACTTTCTAAAACTTAGATTTTCTAATTGAATTAATAATGCATGTTTGTTATGCACATATTTTTTGCAGTCTGGATTAAGTACTCCTTTAAACACTTTTAGATTTATTAGAAAATTAATTTTGAGGAAGAGATAATTTCTTGCTTTTTGTCAGCAAGTAACAAAGTTATAACATGTAAATGGTTACAAAGAGATCCCCCAACCAAAAACTGGATTGTTATTATTTCAGAGATTTATGACATGAAAAAAAAACAATCAGTTAAGATTCCAGAAAGAGGTTTTGAGAGACAGTGGGAGACGTGGATTATATATATTACCTAATGCTATTATTGGAAGTTTTTTTTAGATAATTGGCAACTTTTTTTTGATTCCCTTGCATGTTGTTAAAAAACAAAACATACAGGATGTAACAAAAATAATTGTAAAAAAATAATTTTAAAATATTGTAACTAAAAGATGCAAATAAATACATTACTATTCTTGAACTGGCATGATGGTTGATCTTACTTGAATAGTATTTATTCCCTTACTTGTCTGGCTTGTTTTCTAATGATCCTTCCTTCCAAGACATATTGTGCAGTTCTTTGTGGTATGGTACCAACATCACTGTTTTCAGACATTTAAGTTTAGAGTTTATTCAAGTCATTCAGAGACATAAAGGACTCCATATTTTGAAACACATCCCATTCTCTGTAGACCTAGAGTGAACTGTGTTACAGGATACATTCTGTATGGTGTACCAATGCATAACAGGAATGGGCTAAGCTCAGGATCAACATTTAATAATTATGGTGTAATATGTTATTTGGAAAGGTCTTTTACATAAACAACATGCTTGAATAGATTCATATTTTTAAACTACACCTTTTAATATGAACTGGAAGAAAATGTAACTGTTTTCTGTCATTTTGTATTTTCTGCATTTGTATTTCCATAGCTTTATTTCTTTTGCAATTGTATCCATTGGTGCTTTAAAAAATGAAACGCAGAGGCTTCTACTATAGATGTTACTACATAAGTTGGCTTGGATGAATGAAAACCTGCTGAATTCAAATATGGTGTGTCTAGCCATGAAAAACAAATTTAAAGGAAATTCTGAGCTACAAAGTGAATATGTCTTCAATTTAAGTACAAATATAGAGAGGTGTAGAGAATTAAAAATACATTCAAGAATATTATTTAGTTTTTTTCAGTTTTGCATAACTGAGTCCTCTGCACAGTTCTTAGAAGGAGATGCATACCCCAGGAGGAATGCATAGCACAGCGTAAAAGCTTCTGGACACTGGATTGCCCTGACCAGTCTTAAGCAGGGTTGCACCAAAAAGTAACAAAATTGGAAAAGTAACAAAAACCTTTAACAGCACAGATCTATAGAAACATTCCACAAGGTCACAGAAACAGATGGAACCAGATTGTGGATGTATGGTGTTGCCAAGGTTCGCTCTCACTGGTGGCTTTACAATGACACTGAGAAACCGACTGAACCATCTGTATAGTTGCAGTCACTTCAGTTTTCCACCAAGACGGATGACTTTGCATGCCTTTCAGCTAACAAAACATAGTTACTCAACACTCAGCTTAGAACAATGTTTCAGGGTTCTTGTATGAGAACATAGAGATCTACAGTATTGAACTACTGTAAATATGAATAATGACAGTTTTTAGCACTTTCAATAAGAAATTCTTAATGACATGTTGTCAGGACAATAAGTGAGGGGGCTTCATGCACACTGATTAGCACCAAAGTGAGACATTAAAAAAATGAACGACAAATGAAAAAAAAAGACATTGGCAAGACAAGTCACAATGTTACCTATTGCAGACTCTTCAAACAATATTGCATTGGAAGATTTTCCCAGAGCATTGATTGCAGTGACGTTCACTCTGTACTTCATGGGGGAGAACAACTCGGGGAATTTCACATGACACCGGTTCTTGTGGACAGGGTCTCTTTGCACTTGAAGAACACTGTCACCATGTCTAAGAAAGTAAGATAAAAGAGCAATAGTATTACTATTTGCAGCGATATTAATGATGTGGCTATTCTTAGTACCCCTACTGATGGTATGGCTGCCCCTGCAGATATTAGAAATACTAATACTGCTACTACTTCTAATCCTACTGCTGCAAAACAAATGGTTTTCGATTTCAGTAATAATACTACTTTAGTAATAAGAGCGTCTGTTAAAAAAAAAACATTAAAAATACAATATCCTGCCATCTTCCATGATGCAATGCATGGTTTCTGTCAAGAAATAATAAATATTTGTGTTCATACTCTTATTTTATCACTGATCTATTTAACGATCCACCGCTTGCAACAAAAATACAGTAATTTCCTTTAGGATGACCTGGCTAAAATGTGAAGCCCAGGTTTTACATCAATCGTTTGATCTTCCAGTAACAAGTTGAATGCTCTATTGACCTCCAATTGACTTCCATGCCCCCAATGTCTGAGGAATGACACAGGGCTAGCTAGGAGTGATTAGGAGAGACAGGGACACCAGAATCTTGCCAACTAGAATTGTCAATACACTATTTAAAGTGGAACACAATACACATGATTTTACATTGTGATTTTCTGCGCAGTCTTTATACCTTTATATTTTATGTCTTCAATATTGCGATGGCAACACATTGTTTTTTTTAATCATAACGTCCCACTGAGATTAACTGGCCTGGGTGAATTTAGTAGGAAACTGACTTTGACCGTAGCTAATGAATGAGTTCAGATTGGCCACGTTTTCTCTTGAATTTGACCACATCACAGGTGCCATCACCACTCAACTCAGTTGGTAAATCCATCCTGTTACATATTGATTGATCAAGAAGCCAGTTGCAGCATAATTCTGCAATGAGTGGACTGGAACAGATTAACAGGTGTTGCCACTTTGGTTATGAAGAAAGACTGCCTACTAGTTATCCACATCACTTAATCAAGGTAAAAATATAAGATATGTTTGTACTGTAAGTGTTCATAATGCAAATATATGCAGACACATTTTATTTTTTTCTGTATCACTATAATTGAACAACTTTGCAGTGTATTTCATTTTACTGGATTAATTTTTCCACTAACTCTTGTAACAACTCTTGTTAGACAGTTGTGACAACTTCTAAAAAGTCTCAGTCGAGTTTCAAGTTTTTTTTTTGCCATTTATGGCATTGATAAAATAATAATTTGACTCTTTGGACAATATTCTTGGATATTTGTTCTTGGATAACCAATCAAACCTCTAAAAGCAATTAGTTCTTCTAATAAATCTGGACACTTTTGTCTCAATATCAGAAAACATGGAGCTTTCTTAATAATATATTTTGGGAATGCCTGAAACATACTGTACTCTGGAAACACCATGTGATTATCAATGGAGGGTGTTTTGCAAGATTCATTAATGTGTTAAACTACACTTATCTCAGAACAAAAAATTATCTGCCTCAATGATCACACTGTAGAAATATTTTGCCTAAACTAATAACATTATTAGTTGAAGTGCATTCACTTCCTTTTCTTTGTCTTTGTTTACAAGTTTTTGTCCTGGTAAATTTACCAGTGATTTACAGTTTCAATGTTAAGAATAGAAGAAAGGTTAAACATGTGTAGAGGCCATTTAATGTATTTACAGTTGAACATTTTATTGTCACTAACATTTTGATTGACTAACTGATATGGGAATCTTACCCAAGTGTTCTTTGAAGGAAGCTAAGGCATAAGCTTGTACAGATATACTGTAATGATTTACAGTATGTGAACATTTTTCTTATACTGGAAAAAAAATAATTTGAACCTATAATATGCTGCACATCACTCATGCTATGATAAAGAGTTGCAAAAATACTGTTGTTGATTTTTAAAGGAGAAAGCATAGAAGATGATTTTCCAACATGTAGTTCGCTTAAAACTATAGTCCATATATAATCATTATGCAAATACTGTATTTAGACTCTAATATCTTAGTCTTTTCATTATACAAATATTGTGCTAATACTGGGTTTTGGAGATGAAGCTGGGCAAAAATCTAAGAACTTAGAACAATCTACAAAAAAACATTGAGCACAAAGGAGACATTTTATGTCTTTCATGGCTCTGGTACTTCTGAAAAGTACTCTCCTTTTATCCCCCCACCCAACTGAAAAGCAGGAAATCCCTACAGAAAGAAATCATTGCTTGGCTCTTTAGAACGCCATTACATTGTTAACACTCTACATGACAGGATTTCGACACTCAATTCCCAAGGGCTCCAATTCCAACCTGTTTTAAACACATGACTCTTACTTAACGTGGACTTCAAAATCTGTGGGGATGTTCGTTGTGTGCTGGAGGTGCCAACTGCAGTAGAATCCATTCGGGTAAGTGTTAGATCGGCATGTCACTGTGGGTTCCTTTGGAGGACCTAAGGGGGAGGAAGAGGAAGAAAAGAAAATTACAGCAAAGCACTTTCGTGCTGCACAGCCTTGGCGAGAACATCAATCCAGACTTCTTGAAACCCCTTCAAAAAGTTAATTTCATTAATCGTTTCAAAATGTTCTCCCACACAACCAAGGTAAAGGAAGACAAGAAACATTTTTTCCAACCCAATAACCCACCGAAAGTCCACCTAACAGATTAGACCCCTTTTTTACACTGTCAGTGAAGCATGCCTGCTGCTGCTAAAATTGAAACTGATGACTTAGACCCGTTGTCAAGGAGACAGATGCCATTAGCTTATTTTTGCTTAGCATGGTGTGAAATGCAGGGGCTAAGCTGTAATGGCTGGCAAAGTTTTCTATCATTTTGTCACTTTCTTTTCCCCTGTTTTCCAACACATTGACATGACTAGAGACAAAGCTGCTTTGAAGCTTGGCTTCTTTTTTGTTTTGTCTGATTTAAATATACAGTATATTAAGCTGCTCCCAACATGATTTCACTGGGGGTCTCAAATTTCTAAATGGCTGTGCTGGAACAAAAGAAGGCAAAGTGTTTGCCCAGAAAATCACAGGGCTTTTGGCTTGACTATCACTCAAATAGTCTTCATCTTTTAATCATTTTATTTCTATGAACAAAGTTCTTCTCATTGCTATACAGTAGATGTTAGTGACTTCCCTGTGAAATGAGAGCGGCACTGTCAATCAAACAGTTTCAGAAGTTAAGGATGAATGAGTGGCATTATTTTAGCATGATTACCTTTTGAACAAAAAACAAAATACATTTACCAAAAGCAATAAAACCAAGCAAATGCTAAATTATTTAAAATACTTTTAGCAGTAGTACCTAAGAGATTTAATTATTACAAACTACAAACATTAAATTAAAATCGCAAACAAGGCCTGATCTTTCATTTTAAATATTTTAGACAATTCATTAGTTACTAGGAGAGAAGTACAGTACTTTAGATTCATACATCAATATTCATCAGAAGAATGTTAAAACATCTCCTAAGAACAATAATAAAGAAAATGCTTGGAAAACAGTTTTAATTTAATACTTACAAAGAATTAGTTTGAAAGTTACTTAATAAATTAGTAAATGCTGACAAGAAAAACAATATTTTACTTTTTTGGCCAAATACTCCAAACACAAAGTAATTTTTTCTATAACTTCTATTTTATGTTACTGCTCTTCAACTTGAGTAAACAATGTCTTTAAAATTCTCATATTGAACATACTGTAGATATTTATTTAGGTAAAATACACCAGCATTTAATAAAGAGTATTGTGTTTGTTTTCACTCTTTTCCTGTAAACAGCATTACATTTGTATAATGGGAGGACATAACACATTTAGTATCAAACTTTCCTTTTTGATATTAAGAAAACATTTGTTGTTGTAGTAAAATTACTGGCTCATAGTGTGTTTATATTGTCTATTCAAGTAGCTTTATCATGAAAACTGTGCACAGTGGGACAATGAAATATAGAAAATATATATATGGAACCAAGGGGAACATTCTGCCATGGCCAATAACAGTACACCAGAGGGTGCTATACTATTTCATGTATCCATCTATTTTTGTTCATGGTACGCTTACCTGTATCCTCTGGTTAGTACCCATAACATTAACAGTTACTGGTAAATGCTTTCACTACCCATGAAAAAGCATTCCTGATGGTCCCATTTCTAAGTCTGTGTAAGTGCATAGTTTTTATAATACTATTGTGTGAAATAACCAAATAACTTTATAAGAACTGTACTGTATATATACATTAGAATACACTACATTTGAGACAGCATCACATTATAAGATTTATTTTTGTTTTAGGGTATAGGAGGAGGGGGGCTTTTTATTATTGAACAGATGGACAAGATATTGAACTAAAGTAAAAAAAAAACTATCGCTGTTTAATTATTAATAAATATTAGCCAAGAAACATATCCTTTGGGTCCTAGCTCATTTTCATTTCTTTCTGCCTCTTCATGTACAGTAACTGCAGAGTATAACTCTCTCTTAGCACAAACTTCATCAGACTCACTTCTACAAAATGTTACCTCAGATCTAAACTGCTAATTTCAATTGCTCAGATTAAAATACTACACTTAGTATATGCATGAGAGTTAAACTGAATTGTACCTCAGCTGGCTCCTTTCATAATCTTGGTATTATCTGAAGAATTAGGTCAACATATGAGCTAAAGTTATAGAGGTGTACAAAATGTACTGTTTGTGAGAGTTATTTCTATAAGCAATTACATTACTAACATCAGTCTATTACAGGATAATTCTGTTGGTGAATAGTGCAAATTAGGAGTGTGCCTACAGAAACTTTCTTAGTTAAATGAGTGACAAATGCTCTAAATGCAAGGAAAATTAGACATGATTACATTTTATGTTATCTTGACTAAATGAAATGTTTTTTATAAGAAAAAAATACAAAAATGTATAAACACAATGCTAGGACATTTCAGGAAAATACAGATGGAAGATAAAGGAATGCTTTGATTGTCTCTATTTTTCCCCACTAAAAATAATATTTTTATGTAGCTCTATATTTTTAGCAAAAAAAAAAACACATCTTTCCTTGTATTTCAGGGAAAGTTTCATTACAGAGGAGACACTTTCACAACCTCTAGAAAAAAAAGGATATTGAAAATGTTTTTTTTCTTCCTTGTCTTTAATTATATGAGTCTAAACTGTTCAGTGGATGCCAAGACTTTACAGTCTAGTGAATGCTATCTATCCTCTCTCAGTGGAGAGAGAAAGAGTGTGAGAGAAGTGGGGATTAGTGTCTGGGAACTCTGATACCCTAAAGGCATAGCTTCCGATTGTACAAAGTGCGTGACCCAGCATTCCTGCATTCAGTGTGGTGGCCCTGCTTGGACTACCTCACCTCAGGAGGTTCATTCTGCTATAGAAATAAGACCTCGGGAGACTTCCCTTCAAGCCAGAGGAAAAGGGCACAGAGACAGTTGATGACTGAAGTACCAGCGCTACTGTATATTATATTGAAACCAATTCACCAGAAAACGTGCAAAAGAAGATTAAAAAAAAACTTTTCTGCACTGTTTGCAACCTAGCAACAATCACAGTGTTCTTTGTTTTCCTGAATCCAATATATTTTCACAGTTTATAACAAAACTGCTGCTGTTTCTTTCCCTTAGAAAAAATATATTGATTAAGCCATTCTTTCAAAAGTATTTATATCTGTAGCCCTCAATGATCTACACTGCATCTGGTGTAGATTTAAATACAAAATATTTGGTACAGATGTTTAAGATTTCTGATATAACACTTTTCCTTCGGTCTGTGGATATTTGCAAAGGAGAGAAGTTCACAACCAATTTTATATATTTGCACTCAGAATCACCACAATGAAGTAAAAGCTTGGGAAAAATGTAAATATTGATGACTATGTGTAAATCAAAATTAACTGAATAAATATCCAATTTGTGTAAAAAGCATATGGAGAATTATTTTAAAATCTTCCTGCTTCAAAATACAGTATATGTAGAGAGTGTCATTTTAATATTTTACAATCATATGCAAATGTATCACAGGCACTCTGATTGATTGGAAGACAACATTATCCTTATTCCAGAAACAATAAAAACAATAAATGTTTCAATTTCTTAAAATATATTTCAATCAATCAGATTTTTGACTGTGACAGTAGAAAAAAAAGCTGCAATATAATTTCTCTTCAGTCACTTTCAAAGATTTATTTTTGTTATGAAAGAGGGAACCCATATAAGAAGAAACCCATCTTAAAGTGCTTTTCAACCAGAAATGGATCCAACGAACTGCAGCTGATTAAGAATAAATTGTAAATCTAGAAGTTGTATTAATAATTTTCTATATCTGAGATATGATATTAAATAAACTTTTTTGTTAAACATTTTTAAAACAATTCCTTAATCAGTTTTCTGTACTTTGGAAAAGTTAAGACATTAGCGTTGATCAAACTTGATACCAAACCCTACAGTCTGATTAAAGATCCCTATATCATCACAATCAAATAAAAAATCAGAAACAAAAAATCAGACACTTATGAAACTGAATCTAGAAAACTGGATTACTCCAAGATCCCAGGCTAACACAATCTTCCACTTGGCCATGTAATGCTACTACAAATCATTCAAAAACAACACAGACAATACCACACTGATGGACAGGATAACCATGAATAATCAATATCAATAGTAACATTAGGGTGGGTTATAAGAACAGTTACAAAAAGGAGGAAGCCATTTAGCTCCTCAAGTTCCATTAGTTTGGTTGCTAGTACAGTATACAGTACTGTATGATACTATTACCTGATCTCATCCAGCTGTTTCTTGAAAGAAGCTAGATTATTTGCTTCATCAACACAGCTGGGTAGCTTGTTCCATAACCCCGAAAACCTATTGTGTAAAGAAGAGCTTCCTGTTCTCAGTGTTTAAATGCATTTTCACATAGTCTAAGTAGCATTTATTGATTCTAATGATAACGAAGAAAAACACCATTAAAACTGTAGTTGAAAACTTCAGAGCTGTTAAAATCAATTGATCTTAATTAAAGTCTAAATTTATAGGGCCGTTGAGGAATTATAACCATTAAAAAAAGACAGCATTTGCTTTTCTACCCCAATTTTATCATTATGATCACTCATCTGTCACAGCTCAGCCTGGCTGACTGATGGATAGACAGGGCAGCATAAGGAGTGCCCCTGGCGATTATTAGAAAAACGAGTGGAGAGAAAGTTCATCTGGTAAAAGACTATCAGGGAGAGGTGGGATGAGCTCAGAGCTGCTGACCTCCTGCACCAATTGAGGATGTATCCATCACCAATATCTCTCTAAGGGCCCACACACCTTTGAACACTAGAAAGAGCAAACCCACAGCACTGCTGCCTCACACCATGTGCAATGACTCCTGTATTTGGTTACAGTATGTTATTGAAAACACAACATACACTTGTCAAACAACCACTCCACATTCTGG